TACGTATACGACTTGTACGTATACGACTTGTACGTGTACGACTTGTACTTGACGTGTAATTCAAAAATTTAATGGTAAAATCAAATTTGAATTTGAATTTGAATATTAAAGCTTCAATCTAAGGGCGAAGCAGGAGCGATTTTAGTTTTCTTTCGACAAGTTTATTAAAAACCTATATAATGTCTGTACTTTGAACGGTGAAACCTAAAAATAGCTTATTTTTCTTCAAAAAACGACTCTTGATCGACGATTTTTCTACAAAAACCAACCATAAAATTCGAATGGAATGTGAGAGAAATTCGATTTTTTTTCTCTTGATTGAGTTTTTTTTTGTTCGCGATCACCTTGAACCCAAAATAATTTCTTTCCCAAACATTCGCTTTTTTTGTGGGATGAATCGGGAAGAAAATTAGGATTTGAGAAAAAAAAAGCGTTTTGTAAATCAATATTTTATAAAAAAGGCATTTTTTTGCAAATCAATAGATAATTTAGGTGTTTAAAGTGAAAATCGAGCATTTTAAACGGTAATCATTTATCAACAATGATTAGCTCTTTAGATTTTGAATAAATTTAAAGTGTTTACTAGAGATCTACGCCAACTCGGCATTGATTTCATTTATGAGACCATTTCTACGAGCTTTAGCTTATTAATGTCCGTAGATACTTTAAAAATACTTAAAAATGCGTTTTGTGAAGTTTAGCAAAAGAATTGAGGGTGAAGGGATTCGAAGCAGCGATAAGCAGCGTGGAGGGCGAGGATACTAGCTGCCAAGCCATGCGGTAGATTTTAAAAGAAAGGAATTCTCGCCCATACCACGGCGGGAGCGTTTTTCTTAAAAATGCGTGAACTTTGAACACTTTAGAGTATACAGTTTTCGAAAAAACAGGTTTTTTTTCGAAAACTGTATACTCTCGAGTAGAAATAAAAATCTCTGATCACTTAACATGTCAAAAGGACATTTTTAGAAGTTAGAAAATTAGAAAAATAACAAAATTAGAGTTTTAGAACATTAGATAACCTGCAGACTTGAATTTAAGGCCTCAATTTGAAACACAACTTTTTCGATGGTGGCTTTTAAGCTTTAAAACTGCAAAAGCTATTGGGTTGGTGAATTGTACCGATTCCAATTCGTGAAAAAGTTTGATCCGATTCGTGAAAAAGTACCGATTCCATCTTTGAATTGAATAATTTCTTCCAGTTAAGCAAATTCGAGGCTGTACTTTGTACTCTAATCAAGGCACATAGTCTGGCACTTTCTGAATGGGATTTTGGTCTAAAAGAATTCAATCTATTGGATTGGTGAATTGAAAACTGCGGGCTATTGTCATATGTGACAGTTTGAGCACTTTCTTTAAAAGAAACCCATTTTGATGTCAATGGAAAAGTTGTAGAGAATCAAAAATGAAGCTTATATCCAGATTTTCAGAACGATTCAAAAACTGGTTTTCAAGCAATGCCAAATTTACGAATTTTCACAAAACTTGCATTTTAAGCGAAACTACTCAGTGTATCTTTTTGGAAATTTGGCTATAAGCTTAATTTTTGATTCTCTACAAGTTTTCTATTGACACCAAAATGGGTTTCTTTTGAAGAAAGTGTTCAAATGCTCAAACTGGGACATCTCCAGTCCTCGATTTTTGAGTCTCACACTTGTCTCACACACAAACCAAAATCCTACTACGAAAGAGGAATCCGCAAATTGCCTGTAAAATGGGCAGAAGTCGCCAATAATAATGGAAATTATTTCGAATGAATTGATGGCTTTATGTTGAATAAATTTTAGTTCAAAGTCCCGCAGTTTTCAATTCACCAACCCAATAATTGAACATAAATTGTCTACAATTTTGATGATTAATAACTAATTTGCTTTAAAGCAGACTTTCGCTTTTAATTCCCACTGTGAGAAGGGAAATTGACAGTAAAATTGACCTTATCCCTCAAATTTTCTTCACAACATTCCTAGGATAAGTGCCTGTGTGCTTTTGTTCGCCAAAAGTTCGTTTCGCTTTCTTTTCCCTTTATTCTCCAACAAAAAAAAAGAAGTCTCGGTATGTCAGCTATGAAGATGTGATGATCGAATCAGCGCTAATTTGGAACATTTTCCACCCGATGACGGCTTTTCTCACCCCATTTATGATGGAATGAGGAAAATGAAGAACCGTTCCTTTTTTTTGAGTAAAATGCTTTTTCTGGAATGCAACCACGCCTAGTTATGGAATGAGATAAAAAGTAAACGAAAAAAAAACAGTTAAAAGACGCTAAACACTTTCACGATGTACTTTTAAAATAAAAACAGATTGAACATTGAGATTTCTTGCAAGATTTCTATATTCTATGAATTCTATGAATCAGAAGTTTTGAATTAGATTATTTAAAGCTCTAAAGAGATTTCAAATTTTTATTGGCTAAGATTTTGAGTCAAAAGTTCAAAAGTAAGCGCTGAACAAGAAAGAAACAAACGGAAAAAAAATGATGTTTCAAAATTTTCACATACACAACTTTGTAAAGCGGTAGTAATCACTAAAGAAAATAAAAATATGCAAGAAATCGTCAAGAAAGTCGAAAATTTCCCTATTAAAGGAAAATTAGAGCATAAACGATAGCTAACTATCGTAATTATTCTAATAATTACTCTAATAATTATTCTGTCCGTCTATTGATTGCCGTCTATTGATCTAAAAAATGAATAAGAGTCCCGCACAGATAAATCAAAGACTTTAAAGCTATTAAAAACTATTTTCAACGATAGTCTTGATACAAAACATACAGAAAACATGTTTAAGAGTGAATTTAGTTTCCTCATTAGTAGTATTTCCTCATCTAAAACTTCTGAAGAATTTTTCAAAGCAAAGGTTGGGAAATTTTGATTTATTAGTGCCAAATTAAAATCAACTTTTGAAAATCTACTAGATTATTTTACTAGATTATTTTACTAGATACTAGATTAACCAAAAAGGAACTAAATAGGAACTATAAAGTAACCAAAAAGGAACTAATCTAGTAGGTTTATTTGAAAACGAACTGAATCCATTATGATTTTCAACTAATTAACGAATTCACAAACAAAAACAAACAAACAAATTCATTACTAACAAATTCATTACAAACGAATACATTGCAAACGAATACATTACTATTTTCAACGAAAGAACGAAGCTTATTTGAAAACGAAGTGAATCCATTACTATTTTCAACTAATTAACGAACTCATTACAAACAAATGCATTACAAACATTCATTACAAACGAATACATTACTATTCTCAACGAAAGAACGAAGCTTATTTGAAAACGAAGTGAATCCATTACGATTTTCAACTAATTAACGAATTCATTACAAACATTTAAAACAAACAAATTCATTACAAACGAATACATTACTATTCTCAACGAAAGAACGAAGCTTATTTGAAAACGAACTGAATCCATTACTATTTTCAACTAATTAACGAATTCACAAACAAAAACAAACAAACAAATTCATTACTAACAAATTCATTACAAACGAATCCATTACTATCTTCAACCAATTAACGAATTCATTACTAACAAATTCACTACTATTTTCAAGAAAACAAAAATTGAGAAACCATTAGGCTAAAGAGGCAATCAATGATGCCGACAACCTTGAAAACACCAAAAATTTGAGCTCAAAAAGAACCCGGAAAAATTCCTCTAGAATTTATCTCTCGTACGAGACTTGTTGACAACATTGTGACCGCTAATTTTTCGCTTCGTCACACCCCAAGATCCACGTAAATATATCAACAAAACCATCAATCTTTTATCGAAAAGAGAGAAATTTTTTTTGTCTTAGACAAAAACGAATTCCTTTTTCTTTAAGCATTCCTTTTTCTCTAAAAGGGCGTGTTTTCGCGAGAAATTGACGTCTTTTTGGCTCCGCCTCTTAAAAATCGGCTCTTTTTCAAGTTTTTTTTCTCCTTTCTCTTACAGAACACCCATTTTGGCGGTATAAAAGCGTTAATCCTTCTCCGAAAGGCCTCAGGCTTCATTTTGGATTTGAAAATTTTCCCTTGAAAACTTTTAAATTGTCTTTTGGTAACAAAAGTTTAAGTTTTAAGCTAACAAAAGCTAACAAAAGCTTTTAATTTTCATTCTACTCTTTAAAAACTATATAAACCTTTGCAATTAAAAAGTTTTATTGAAAAGAAACTGTTTTTTCTTTTTAACAATCCCTGGAACCAAGTCAAAAACCTGTTTCAATTATCATTTTTGCATTATTGTACAAAAAACTGTACAAAAATTGTTGCTAAAAAGTTTTAGTATAGCAATTTTCACTTAAACAATCTCTATCTAGCAAATTAGCGATGATAGAAGCGCCTTAGCGATGATAGAAGCGCCTTAGCGATGATAGAAGCGCCTTAGCGATGATAGAAGCGCCTTAGCGATGATAGAAGCGCCTTAGCGATGATAGAAGCGCCTTAGCGATGATAGAAGCGCCTTAGCGATGATAGAAGCGCCTTAGCGATGATAGAAGCGCCTTAGCGATGATAGAAGCGCCTTAGCGATGATAGAAGCGCCTTAGCGATGATAGAAGCGCCTTAGCGATGATAGAAGCGCCTTAGCGATGATAGAAGCGCCTTAGCGATGATAGAAGCGCCTTAGCGATGATAGAAGCGCCTTAGCGATGATAGAATTTGAAAGTTGGACCAATTTCATAGAATTGAGCTTGTTAAAGCTGTTAGAGTCGAAATTTTATCTTATTTCTTCGAAATTTGATATAATATAATTACTGCAGTCTATTAAATGATTTAGGTAACATTTCAGAGTGTTTACTTTGAAACTTTAACTTTCCCTTTACTTTCCCTTTACTTTCCCTTTACTTTAACTTTCCCTAACTTTCCTTTACTCCTCTTTCAACCAATTTTCAACTAACGAAACGAGTTTTTCTGTGAAATTTTTTCTCTAGAAGTTCTCTAGAAGCTGCTCAAAACTCCCTAAACAATTCTGATTTCAGAAACTCGCAAAATTCACACAAAATGCGGCAACTCTTGTGCTCGTTTGTGTTGTTCATTTCAACTCTTGAAGCAATCCCAATGCTTTTGAATAAACCGTTCACCGGTGGAGAGAAATTCAGCGGATTTGACTACATGGAAGCTCCGAAAAGTTCGTTTTAAAAGCTTTATTCTGTTTCTCATTCATTAGTACTTTTATCAAAGCTTTTTAGCCGTTCAAATTGAAACTTAGCAATTAAGCAACTAAGCAATTAAGCAACTAAGCAATTAAGCAATTAAGCAATCAAGATTAAGATAAAAAGAAGATTAATTTAAACACAATCGCAAAGACGGCATTTTAGGCCTAGTCGTTCACTGTTTTACTGATAATTTGGTGTTAAATTCAAAGAATTAAATTAAACTCGTGCTAATCTTTGCAAAATTAAACCATTTTTCAAATCATTTAAGCCGTTTAAAGTCGAAACTTGTTGATTTAGAGTGCTAAATGTTTTGCATTAAGTTTTGCAGCTTTGCAGTTCTGTAAGCGAGATTGTAATGATGATTTAAGCTAAATTTAAGCTAATTTAAGCTTAAAACTAAATTTTAAAAAACCTAATGACTTATCTAATCGTTACATTGAAACTTGACAAAGTAAAGTCAAAATTTCTATTAAATCCTAGCTCGATCTAGCTTTTTAAAAGCTTTTAACGAATTACTGAATGAATTTTATTAACTTTAACTTATCGAATTGTATAGATGTTCTATTAAATCTATTAAATCTATTAAATAGATATAAAAATAATGATATCTATTAATAAATCTATTAAATACCTTTACTAGCTCTTTACTTGCATGTACTTTGGCCTTTACGACTTGTCGCTTTGAAATTAAAACTTAAAACAATGATCTGAGCTTAAATCAAGCTTAAATCAATCAATTAATCAAGCTTAAGCTAGTTGAGCTTTAGAAAATCCCAATTCAAATTCTATTTGGATTCTATTTGGATTCTATTTTTTTTATTTAGGCGAATCCCTATGGCCTTTGTCATTCTCTAATGAAGACTTGTTCCGAAATCTCAGAAATATGGATGTTGACGGAGTTGAGGCACAATCGATTCCCGATGAGGAAAAGGTAAGAGCAAGATTTGGTAGCAAGATTTGGTAGCAAAATTTGATATCAAAATTGGAATTAAATCTGAATTAGAGGATAGACTAGTTAAATGAAGTTAAATGAAGTAAAATTAAGTTAAATGAAGTAAAATTAAGTTAAATGAAGTAAAATTAAGTTAAATGAAGTAAAATTAAGTTAAATGAAGTAAAATTAAGTAAAATTAAGTTAAATGAAGTAAAATTAAGTTAAATGAAGTTAAATGAAGTTAAATTAAGTTAAATGAAGTTAAATGAAGTTAAATTTAATTAGTATAGACTAATTAAAGTATAAACTAGTTACAAAAACTGATAAAACTTTATATGTTATCAAAAAAGGATCAGAAATGAAAGGACTGATGGGTTCAGCTTTAAAAAAAGTCGTGTTTCACAGTTGAGAACCTTGAAAAAGGCTTTAATTTTTAAAGAAAAGCAATAAATAGGCTTTAAAAGATTCAGAAAATTTAACCAAATAATTTGAATTTAAAAATTTAACCAAATAATTTGAATATTTCTTCAGGCACTTGCAATGTTCGGCCCAAAGTACATGCAAAACTTTGGTGGCCTAGAAGAAACGTCGAGACTCCCGCAAATGCCATTTGACGGAATCGAGGATCGCTCGTTCAATATGGACACTCAGCCTGGAGTTGCGCCAAAGGTAAGTAACAAATAGCAAATGAATAAAAGCTGCCATAAAATGTAGTAGATATTTGATGAAGGACTTTTAAAGCTTGTAAATCCATTTGTTAAGCAAATAATCTATTTCTTAAGCAAATAATCCATTTCTTAAGTAAATAATCCATTTGTTAAGCAAATAATCCATTTGTTAAGCAAATAATCCATTTGCTAAACAACAAAAAAAGTGATGAAGTTTGTCATGAAGCCTATGTCATGAAGTTATTAACTCCAAAAAAAATCATTCATTTTGATTATTTTGAAACTAGCTATTTTGAAATCAATAAAACCCAACGATTAAACGCAATCTATTCAAAAGACATCCACTGAAAATTGCATTAAATTGATTTGTTTTATTGAATTCAGAATAGTCACCATTATCCATTTTCCTGACAATAACTTTGAAACAACAGAGCCAAAAATTTCATTTTTCTAGTTTAGCAAATGGATTATTTGCTTAAGAAATAGATTTACAAGCTTTAAAATTTATAATTTATAAGTTGTTTACCATGAAAAATATGGAATTGCAAAAGTAGTATATAATCAAGTAAAATTTCAGTTCACTGGCACTTTCGTCACCGAAAAGCCAAAAGAAGAAAAGGAAGAAGGAAAGCAAGAAATGTCAATTAAAGAAGAGGATTTAAAGGTGAGGCAAATTATCATTAAATCCCCAAAAAACAATTGAACCTTTCATAAGTTGAAACTTGAATTTTCATAAATTCCAAAAGTCCTGAAGAAAATGATAATCTTGGAGATTTGAAAATATAAAACGGTATAAAGAATATTTTTTAAAAAACCAGTTATTTTTAGCTTTTGGATCCCGACTATATCGATGCTCCAGTCATCAATCCGGCCAACTATTTCTTGGAGGGAGCAGATTTAGCGAAGGTTCGTTGAACATTCCATAATTCCTTTATTTCTACGATTCTATAGCCTTCTCACAATATATAGAAAAAGTCTTCAAGCTATAGAATTAAAAACTTAAAGCCAAATTCTAATAGTTTTGATTCATTAAGTGCAAAAAAAAACCAAAACTCCTTGTACAAAAGAATTTCAAGTTTCAAGTTTGATAAAGAGTCTTTGATTTTTTCTGCAATCAATAGGGAAAAAATTCAAAGATAAACTAAACTCGTGCTAATCTCGTGCTAATGAATTTGGTTTTAAGCTTTTAATCAAAACTGTAAAATTAAGCTTACTCGCTAACTCTCTAAGTTTGGTTCCCTATCTCTCCAAATTTGGTTCCCTATCTCAACACTACTTAATGCTCAAAGCTTAAAGCTCAAAGCTTAAAGCTTAAAGCTCAAAGCTCAATGCTCAATGCTTAAAACTTAAAGCTTAAAACTCAAAGCTCAATGCTTAAAGCTTAAAGCTTAAAGCTTAAAAACAGAATTTCTGATTTGATTCAAACCGAAACTCCTTCCACATCTTGAAACTTGAAATTTTCAGGTGCCTGCACCAAAATGTCAAATGATCGGCTGCACTGGACCACACGTGAACGACGGCTCGTTCACTTTCGATGACAAGAAAGATTCCTCAAAGACAGAGCAATGCCACTCGACTTTTGTCCCATTGAATGGCTGCCTAGATGGGAAGGGATACCCGATGGGCATGGTGTGCCAAATTTGTTGCGATTGCGCCAACTCGTTCGTCGCCGAGATGCAAAAGTCTCGGGGTTTCAGAACTGGCTACAAGGATCCACATCATTGAAATTCTCGTTCTAAGCGTTTCTAAGCGTTTCTAAGCAATTCTTGTTTCAAGCAATTCAATTCTATCCAATTGTAGATTTCTTGTAGTTTTATGTTTCATTAAGTAGCTAAGCAAGCGATTGGGTCCGTTTTTTTTTGAAACTCAACTTTCCTATTGAAACTGGCTTGTAAACAAAATGGCTTGTAAACGGAAAATTGAGTATTTTGAGATGTTCATTGACTGTATTTCAACTAAGATTTGTTAAATAAGAAACGAGCTTCTAAAGTTAACGACTACGCGCCAATACGGGGGTTATAGTAGAAGAAATACGGTATTTAGCTGAAAATCTTGAAAGAAATGCTATTTTTCACTGAAAAATCCTCAAAAGATTGCGTTAGTCAGAACTTATTTGACTATTAGCTGAATATCTTGAAACTTCTTTTTTTCACCCCCAAATTTCCTTTTTCCTCAAAAACTACGGGTTTCCTCAATGATCGTTTTCTCCTGTTGTCTAAAAGACTATTTTTTTTCGGAAACTTTCCCCGTTTTCTCGTGTAAATACCCTAGCTGTACATAGGAAAGATGCGTAATCATATAAATTTTTGGTTTTTGGTGTTTTTGCTGTAATTTTGTCTTCTTTTACATCTTCTTCGTCATCTTTTGTCGCATTCTTCCCCCCATTTTTATCCTCACCGGTCTCGCCTCTTGCCTTTTATCGGGTCAATTTTTTTGCGTTCTATTTGAAAAATTTTGAAACTCAACTTTTTTTTTTTCTGTTTTTCTGTTTTTCTTTTTCTTCTTTTGCATTAAATTCTGTACAAAATGTGTACAAATTGTTTGGGAATATTTAAAAAAGTAAAATCTAATTCTTTTTTATGTGAATAAAAGAATAATATTATTGGAAAGTGGAAAACAATTGAAACTTAAATCTTTATTGGAAAATACTTTTTTGTTTTTTGTTTTTTGGATTTGTCTATCGAATGACATGCAATTTACTATTAGAGCTTTCATTTTTGAGGTAAAGTAACTGAAATTGAAATTTCACTAGTCATTTGTTTCGCAATTCAATTCATTCGGTGCATTGCGGGTGTAATGGTTAGCACATTTGTCTGGTAAGCGCTTACCATTTGCCTGGTAAGCGCTTACCATTTGCCTGGTAAGCGAAAGGTCGAGCATTCGAGTCCCGACGGCCCACAAGTTTTTGAACTGCCCTAGTTTCAACTGCACAACAGAATACAACAAAATAAATCCTGTAAACCTTAGTTAGTCTAGCCTCAATTAGTTTAGATTTTCAAATTTCGACTTATCTACTTCACTTTATTGTTAAAAGTAAAGTTTAAAGTTTAAAGGTAAGACAATGTTTTGAATTGGGCTGATCAAAATTCAAATTTTCAAAATCGGTAGGAATCAGGTGCATATTTTGATTCTAATAGTATCAGCGTGGATGCAAAAATAAAATATCAAAGTTTCAAGCTTACAAGGGATAAAGGTATGTTTTCTTTTTTTAATCTTGCGATGCACCGGCAGGCTACTATAAGGTTTTTGCGCGAATTAAAGTCGTAAGCGCTTTTTCTTTTGAGTTCTCTTGAAACTTCGCAATTTTGATTTTAGTAACTTGATTTAAAAGAGTGAATAAAAGTATTTTAAAAGGCTAAAAGTCTCTAATTAAAGGTTCAGGGTTCAGGGCTGTTGGATAAATGGTCAAAGACTTCTATTCGAGTCCCTTGAAGCTCCTTTGAAGCTTTGAAACATGATTCTTAATGCAATCATTATTTAACAATATATATAACAATAAATTCGGAATTTGTAAAATTTTTTGCTAACAATAAGCTTAGTTAAGCTTAGTTAAGCTTAGTACGGTTTAGTTAGGAAATTTAAAAGGTAAAAGACTTTTGAATATGAATTGAATTCAAAATATGGCTCGAATATGGCTCGAATAGATAAGGCTAGACAAAAAATGGCCAGAAACTCCAAAAAAAAAGACGAAAAGACTTTCTGGACTTTCAAATAAAAGCAAACTTTAAAGTTTAACGATAAGAACTTGTTTTGAAGTTTGCTCATTAAATTTAAATCCATGAAAAACAAATTTTTAATTAAATTAATTTAAAAGTTTCAAAATCAGTAGGAATGTGGTGCAAATTTTGATTGTAATAAAAGAAATGCTAAAATAAAATTTCAAAGTTTCATGTTTACAAGGATAAAGGAGTGTTTACGATTTTCAATCCCATGGCCACAAACAAATTTCAATTTTGTACAAATCTTTCACAAATACTCCCCGATGGAAAAATTATTGACGCTTTCTGAGCTTTTTGACGCTTTCTGAGCTTTCTGAGCCTAACCAATCAAGCCTAACGAATCGAGCTTAACCCATCGAGCCTCACCAATCAAGCTTAACTCTTTTCCATACTCATTCATCAATTCTATACAAGCAAGCGTTACAAATTCATCCGAAACAACCAAATTGTCAAATTCTTTTCTTTCAATAATTCAAAGACACTTCAGTTTTTCTCAATTTTCTAATTTTCCATTCTTTTTTTTCTTTTTTCCCTCTAAATTCTCTAACAACAACAAATCACCGCTAATTTCCCCTCTCCAAATTCCCCCTGGCGCCTCCAAATTCGATTAGTCTACGCCCGTTTTCTCAACGAATTAAAATCAATCAAAATCAATCAAAATTTTTGAAATTTAAAAATCATGTTTCAACTTTTCAAAAATTAAGAAATACTTTTTACACAAAGTCTCGGTGATAAAAAAAAACATGAAAAACAGAAATTTTTGAGAGAAATCACTCCCACTAATCGTAACTCAAAAGAGGCATTTTTTGCGAAATCGCAATTTGGGGAACATTTTCACTTTTTCACAAATTTCACTTTTTCAATTGAAATGAGAAAATTTCTATCGATTATTACTTTGATTTTACAAATTTTGACGATAAATGGAAAGCCGAAGATGAAAGAAGCGATCATGGGGAAGCAAGGTTTTTGTTTTTCTGTTTCTTTGATTTTTTTCAAACAGGTTTTTGAAATTTTCAAAAATTTCGAACTTTTAATGCAATTTGGGGAAAATTCAAACTTTAAACTCAATTTTAACATGAAGATTACCAGTCGTAGCACTTTTTTTATAACAAACGCTTTTTCTTTTGAGTTCTCGTGAAACTTAAGAATTTTGATTTTAGTAACTTGATTTAAAAGAGTGAATAAAAGTATTTTAAAAGGCTAAAAGGCTCTGACTAAGGTTCAGGGTTCAGGGCTGTGGGATAAATGACCTAAGACTTCTATTTGAGTCCCTTGAAGCTCCTTTGAAGCTTTGAAACATGATTCTTAATGCAATCATTATTTAACAAAATTTAATGCAATTTGGGAAAATTCAAACTTTAAACTCAATTTTAACATGGAGATTATCAGTCGTAGCACTGGTAATCTCCATGTTTTTTTATAACAAACTGGTAATCTTTATGTTTTTTATAACAAACTACAAAAAGAAGAACTTCCTTTCAATGTTTATCTGTCTTTACGAGATTTTCAACAATAGTTGGAAAGATGAGCGGAGCAAAAAGGCAAGGAGAGCAAAAATTAGAGCAGTTTTACTTGCAGGTACTTTGAAATCCAGATGTTTGCCATACAGTTTCATTAATGTTGCTGAACCCAAATTCAAGCCGAACATTTTGAAACATGGAATCTTTTTTTTTGTCTTTAAGTTAGTTATTTCAAAAGTGCATATTTAAAACTTATTAACAAACCAATTCGGAGAATTCAAGCCTAATTTTGAAAAAGAAAAGCATATTTCAAAGTTTCAAAGGACAGAAGTGTTTGGCCTTTGGTAGAGGCTATCGTAAAAACTTTGCAACAATATTTCCGTGTAATGCATAGAAAAATAGCTCTCATATCAGAAGAATAAATGTACTCGAACTAAATATAATAAGAAGATAACTGTTCTCATATCAGAAGAATAAATAAGTAGTCGCTTATTTGAAAATTTTCAAAATAAGTCGATTTACTAACATTGAAATGTGAGAAATAAAAAAAGTGTTTCAAAAGTGGCGGGCTTTATACACAAAAAGTGCCAATAATCGAAACGACAAGCATTTTGAACTTTCGATAAGCATTTTGAACGAATTTTAACATCAATAACCATTCCATTTCATTCATTTCAGTCCCACTCCCCGACGATGATCCATTTGCGCTTTTTCGTTTCGCCGATTATTTCCCGAATTTGCGAGAGGATGGCCAGGTTTTGTGGAACTCTGATGAGGTGGGATAGATCAAATGAAAGCTTAGGGGTTTAAATTTTAGCTAATTACTTACTAAATAGCCTTAAATAGCTTACTCAATTGGTTCAGGCCATCAAAAATGAGGATCTTGAAGATTTCAAGCAAAAAGAAGAAAAGGATTCGATTTCCGTGATCGAGGATGCTGATTTGTTGTTGCCTGAGCCAAAAGTGGCAACCAAAGTTAGTGAAATTTTTTAAAGGTTTCAAAATAATCAAAAATTCACAGTGAAGAAATGAATTAATAGGAAAAAAAGCTGAAAAAAGCGTTACAGCAAATTTCAGTTTACTGATGCTTTCGAGAAACCAAAAGCTGGGAAGACGGAAATTAAACAAGAGGATTTAAAAGTGAGACTATAAAAGATACCGTAAATACTGTAATAGTACCCCAGCCCCATAATGACTGTGCGGAGTGTTGTGTAGTCTAGCTTTGAACGAGTTTTTCTCGACACTGGTTTAGGCTACAATGCGCGTTTAGGTATCAAAAAATAGCCCTGAATTTCAGCTATTTTTTGATGCCAAAGACGCATTTTTTGAAAGTACGGGAGCTTTGAAAAAAATGAAATACTAAAAAACTTTTGCGACTACGCGACTGTACGAGGGCGGTGGGGTACTATTACAGTATTTACGGTATTAAATTACTCAGAATATAGTTAAAGCTTGGAAAAAAATTGAAACTCAAAAATAGGGAAAGTTAGCAAAATTTGAGAAAAGCCTTCAAAAACAAAACGATAATTTCTCCAGAATTTGGACCCTGATTACGTCGATGCTCCTATCATCAATCCGTCTAACTATTTCTTGGAGGGAATCGATTTGGAAAAGGTTAGAAAAAGATTAGAAAGATGTTAGATCAGAAAAAGGATAATTAGTTTAATTTTACGAAAATTGAAGTCATTTAAAGACAATGGGCTTAAAAGGATTAAAAGCGGGAGTGGGAGAAATGCGACCTTTTTTGCGCACCCGGACATTTGCGCACCTGTTTTTCCGCACTTAGCCCATTCGCGCACCTTTTTTCACGTTTTAAAAAAGCTCTAAAAAGCTAATATTAACCAATTTCTATTCCAAATGTTGTTTTTCTAGGTAATTTTAGGGCGTAGAATCGAAATTTTGACATATCAGAGCTTGTGGAAACAAACGGACGGAGTTATACAAAGAGAAAAATCAACAATTTTCTGTAATTTGACCTAGCCGTTTTGTCTTTCAAATTGGTTCCTCTGTTATGTCAAAATTTGAATTCGACACCCTCAAATTACCTAGAAAAACAACTTTTGGAATAGAAATTGGTTAATATTAGCTTTTAGAGCTTTTTTTAGAGCTTTGAGAGCTTAAAACGCGAAAAAAGGCGCGCTAATGGGCAAGGTGCGAAAAAAAAGGTGCGCAAATGTCCGGGTGCGCAAAAAAAAGGTCGCATTTGTCCCACTTCCTTAAAAGCTCATTTCTTTAAAAACTATTCTATACTTTGAAACAATAACATTTTTACCATGAGAAATTCAATAAATTCACTTTATATTTTCAATAGATTTGCCAGAAAATCGCAATAAAATTATCAGAATTTTGGGGGTTGCTTTTGGGATATGATTTTAACTATTTTTGTGTCATTAAGAAAAATTCATCACAGTCAAAGTAGCAAGATTTAAATGAATACTTAAAGTTTTAACTGTAGTTATTATATTTGAAATCTTTATTTCGATTTCATTAAAAGAAAAGAAGCAAGATTCTGCAGTGCTAAAGATTCTTTATCTCAATTGAATTCCAGATTCCCACGCCGAAATGTCATTTAACCAACTGCGCTGGACCGTTCCCAAACGATGGCTCAATCGATGTCTCGAAAACAGAAAACAAAACGAATTCCACGTGTAGCCGAGTAATTTTACCGCTTAATTCTTGTCTAAACAATCATGGGTATCCAATTGGAATGATTTGTGAGATTTGCTGTGAATGTTCACAAGCATTTGAAAAAGAAATGAGAAAAACAAGAGGTTTTATGGTTGATTTCAATTGAGAAAACAGATAATTAAGCATTTAGATTTGGACAAAAAAGAAAAGATAAATAAAAAGAAAAATAAAATGATAGTATAAAATGGAGAGATAGATTCGAATGAAATTTAAAATTTAACTTCAAACAAGAGTTGATTGAAGTAGCTTGAATCAAGCTGTCAATCAAGCAATTAAGGTGAATCACCCGGGCTTTTTTTCATGCTCATTTTATTGGAACTTGATCATTTTTTCCGATCAATTCCTCCAGCATTTGTTAAATAAATCATTTACAAGGATTTTTGCAGTATTTTAACACTATGAACTTTTAAACACAATTCGGGATAGGCTACTTTGCGCCATTTTATTTGGGAAAAAGGGTCATTTGCGCAACTCGCCATAACTTTCTTCTGAGTCAGCCAATCTCTATCATTTTAGTGTCATTTTGTTGCACTTATTGAGATCTACAAAATGAAACCAAAATCATAAAGATTGGCTTACTTAGACAAAAGTTATGGCGAGTTGCGCAAACGACCCAGTTGCGCAAAAAAAATTACGGAAACTAGCCTACCCCCACAATTCTCCAAGAACCCACCGCTTCAACGGCCATCAACTCAGAGGCACTGCATTTCAGCGTTGACCAAAAGCTCGTTCCTAAAAATAAGCTCGATGTTTTAAATTTTGTGAGAATTCTTGACCACTCTGAAAAGCGCAGTTTCATGGAATCAATTGACAATCTAACTAGATATTTATACCTTTAGACTTTGAAACTTTGAACATATTCTAGTAATCTTTCATCGGAAAGTGCTCAAGATTCAGTTCAAGGGTTGGACATGTCAAATCCTTTTATGGGCTAAGCCTGGGAATACAAAACGGGTCAGCGTCGGGATTCGAACCGTTTCGAAAAGGGATTCGCTTGCCTAATGAGCTACATTGACATTTACCAATGAGCTACACTGACATTTACCAATGAGCTACACTGACACAAATCTTATTGCCAGAGTAGGCCCTTATGTTTTACTCTTGATTGACTGCTGTTTCTGCAACAATTGATCGTTTAAATCATTTTTGAATCTCCAAAAAGATGTAAAGCGTGTTTCAACTTTATCAGGATCAAAAAGCAGCCTCTTGCATTAATTTTGTCGTATGACTCTTGAAAAATTCATACAGTTAACGTGCGATTAAATTTGACTAATAGATTAAAGAATATCTATAAGAATTCTATATGAATCTATATAAGAAGATTATCTATCAGAATTAACATTCAAATCTCAAATTTCACAAAAAAAGTTCATGTTTCACTATATTATTCCTTGAGAATCGATTTGTCAATCGTAACGTTTTGAATTTGAAGCCTAAGCCTAAGCCTTATTTGAAGGTTATCGGACATTTAATCCGCGCAGCCACTTTTGCCATTGGCAATTTAACTTTGAGCCCAAATTTCTTGGTGTTCGGCTTTCCAATTTCAATATTCTTCGTATCATTAGATGCGCCAAGTCTTTCTCTATCGATTGGGACAAAAACTATTTAAATTGAACAGCCGAACACCAAGAAATTTGAGCTAAAAGTTTGATTGTCAATGGCAATAGCAAATCAAATGTGATTTTGAATGATGTTTAACAAAGCTCACCTTTAAAGCACAATTTCTGAACTCTTGACGCCAGCGAGCTGCTCTCTGCCCCGTAAACCAAGCACAGCTTCGAGATTTGCTGATCGATTTCCGAGCTGGAAATCTTGATTTGTGGATAAATCAATCAGCCAGGATTTTTGTGTTTTTTGGGAAAATCGCTATATCTTTGGCCAGAAGCCTCAAATCAATTTACACCCAAAGAAGAAAATTTAGCAAAAGTGTCCAAACTTATTCACTAATCTAATACCGTCTTTTCCCTAATAGTAGTGCACCCAAAGCTTTGCCTAAATTGCTCGAAATCTCGAGAACCGCTTATCAGAACCTATCGATGTGGGGCCGGAAAATGTAGCTGACGATGAGATCTAGTGGGGGATTTGAGTGTTGAGCTTCTGCAAAAGCTTGGAAACCGTAAAATAGTCACCAACTCGGCTCGACCGGGTGCACTATTATTAGAAAAAATACGGTATTTTATACTCGTTTTCCTCCACTTCATTGTCGCAATTGTCGGCCAGGCCCAGGCTAGGGTCAGGAACAAGTCCAGAATTAGGCCAGGCTAAGCCTTGTGGGGGATTAGAGTGCTGAGCTTCTGCAAAAGCTTAGAAACCGTAAAATAGTCTCCAACTCGGCTCGACCGGGTGCACTATTATTAGAGAAAATACGGTAATTGAAATCTTTCTAGATTTTTATAAATATTTCGATTGTTTTAAGAGAGATTTTTGATTATTGAACATTTTTTTGCTTATTATCGATCAAAATGAACTCATTTTTCACACTGACCTTACTGAAATTCGAACAAAACACCCAAAAGCCACCGCGTCACAAAGAGCATCGAAATAATGCAAAAGTGCGTTTGTAAAATCGCTCGTCACACATCTATTCAAAATCTCTACCGAATCGAGCGATTCACCCGTGATCAACAATTGTCGGAGTGACGCCGAGAGCCTAAAATTATGCAGTTTCAATTTTGATGACATTCAAGCGAAAGCCTAGCTACAATATCTTAATTCTAGTGGCCTAAAAAACCAAAAATGTGAGTAAATCTTGGAAATCTTTTCCCCAAAGCAATCACCCCGCAATCGATCCAGCCGCACAAACGGTCGAGAGGTAGAATTTGTGAAGGAGATCGGCCACAATCGCACTTTGATCCTCGGCACACGAGGCTCGCGCTAAAGTTGAATGGTTGAATGGTGGAAATGAGTCGAAACACAGCTTGTACTGTAAAAGTAAGCTATTTATTTGGCATTAGATCTTGAAATATATCAATTCTAAAACAAGCAAGTATTTTTTTGTTGAAAAAATTGAAACATAAGCTATAAATTAAGCCAAAGATGCTGTAAATTTAAACTTTTTTCTATTTACTTAAGAAATTTTTGCATTTAGCCTAAAAGCGTGTTTGTTTGCTTCAGCTTGGCTATCGGATCTTTGTAGCGAAGGGGAGTGTTTCAAATTTGAATTTGAATTGAATTGAGTTACTAAATGATGATTAGATTGTCGAGACTTTATTAGTTGTTTATTAGATGATCGAGACTTTTTGATTCGAGACCTAACGTTCTCGAAATTCTCTTTTCAATTGAAACTTAGTTTCTTACAACTTAATTTCTTACAACTTAGTTTTCTTTACATTTAGTTTATTGAAAGATTTTGTTTGAACTCACAATTCTCATGCATATGTTGACTCATTTTCGCGAGCGCTCTTAGCAAACGGCCCAATTTCACGGCTTCTGCCCAAAAGGTGAAACATTCCTGAAAGGCTTGGGAAGTGTATTTCAAAATTACACAAATAATAGGATTTCTTTTGAACTAACCTCAACTTGTGCACTCCTTTTCAACGTTTTAAACCCAAGAGTCGATTCCAAAACGCTTGTTTCTACGCAAATGTGATCCTGTAATGTTTTTAGGATTTATTTTTACTAGAGATGAGTTTCGGTTCGGTTTTGGTTTCGGTTTTGTTCGGTTTTGTTCTGTTTTGTTCTCTTTTTTGGTTCGGTTTCGAATTGAATCGAAATTTTTTGCTTTTTGGATTGAACCGAATCGAAATTTGAGAACTTTCCGTTTGAACCAAGCCGAACCGAACCGAAAAAAAAAGCTATAAACCCATGTCTAATTTCTAATATATAAATCTTTTTCCAGTTTTAGATGCTTTTTCTATTTTGCATTAAACTGTTCATGCAATTTTTCCACTTTTCCAGTATCGCAAGTGTTTTTTTATATGAAATCTTCTATCAAAACAAAAGCAAGAAAAAAAAAACGTCTTTTTTTTATAGAAAAATTCAAAGTTTTTTCAAATTCAAAGTTTTAAAGAGTTTCTAAATCATATTTCAAATCTCATATTCTATTGGGTTGTCCAGTTATGAATGCGCGTTTTTTACTATTTTGTAAATTTCTCAAGCTACCGAAATCAAGAAAAAGATATATATGAGTATTATTCGAAGCTGAAGATCTCCTCTACATTTTGATATAAAAAGCTTTTGAATTTGTCCAGCTTTTGGGCAAATTGACTGCACAGAAGAAGAGGTGGCCAAAAAATGGAAGGGTGCCTTTGGATCAAGTTTTGGCTTCGCTCAAATTGAGTTAACCGTTTGATGTTTGGCCAATAGATATATCAATACAACTTTTTAAAAAATATAACAATTTTCAGAGCATCTTTACTTTTCTTTTCTTTTCTGGGCGGCTATTTTACACCATAAAACTTGAGGAATAGCTAAGCTGGAATGGGTTTTTTCGAAAACGACCTCTCCCTTTGTGCAGTCAATTTCCCAAAAAGTTGGATGAATTCAAAAACTTTTTTATTCCAAAATTTAGAGGAGATCTTCAGCTTTCGAATGATATATAACACTCATAAACATCTGTTCGATATCTTGAGAAATTTACAAAATACAGGGTGCGGCATAAGTATGGTTACAGACTCAGAACCGTGTATCGTAATGAAATATGAACGGATTCATGTAAATTTAATTTAAAATTAACAACAGTAATCATATTCATTTAAAAATAACAAATTATTCAATATGGGCACCTTTATTCTTGATAACGGCTTTAAGACGCTTTGGATAACTCTCCACGGCGGCCCGCAGGGTACTTTGTGGAATTTCCGCCCAGGCTTTCTTCAGAGCCTTTTTCAGACTTTCAAAGTTTGCATGTTTTGTTGTGCATGCTTTTTGCTCCAAAATTGCCCAAACACAGAAATCCATAACACTCATGTCGGGCGAATTAGCTGGCCATTCATTGGCGGGAATGAAGTCGGGCAAATTGTTTCGACACCACTCTTGAGTCTTTTTTGCTTTGTGCGCTGGGGCGCCGTTTTGCATCAACGTCCAGCGCTGATTTTGATAATCTCCTTGACTCCACGGCTGTGCATGTTTTGTGAGAACGTCCAGATACACGTCTGTGCTAATTTTCAGCCCTTTATTAACGAAAATCAGCGGTTGCTGACACCTCTGCAAAAACCATGACTCCTGCTGGATGTGAGTTCGTGTCCACAAATCGGTCACTTTCATTTGCTTCTTGAGGGCTGTGAGCCAAAATTCGATCATTTTGAGAGTTGAAAACTTGCTCAATGTTGACTAATTTCTCGTCGGTAAAAAGCATCGTCAGACGCTCATCATTTGCGGCCCTCGCAAGAAGAAGAGCACATTTTTGCTTCGTGTTTCTCATTTGAAGATCCGTCAGGCCATTATGCTTCCTTAACTTGTAAGGGTGAAGACCCAGATCCTTTTTGACGATACGACGGATAGTTCTATCAGAAACATTCAATTGGGGAGCCATTTTTCTCATGCTCCGGGCAGGATTGCGCTTGATTCGTTTCTTAATGATTTTCTTGAGTCTCGTGTAATCAATTTTTGGCGGACGTTCACTTTTAGGAAGCTCTTCGACTCTATTTTGTTGCAAAATGCGGTATACCGTCATTCGATGCATTTTCAGCAGTTTGGCAATATCCGAAGTTGATCGTCCTTGTGCTCCAAGCTGAAGAATAGCGGCACGGTTGGGAGAAGCCTTCACCATTATGTCCAAACTTAAAAATTGGCTTAAAAACTCCCACATAGTATAAAAAGCATTCAAATTAAGAGAAAATAATCCTTTGGCAAGAAATAAAAATCAATCAGTTTCTTAAATCAATGTTACAACCTTGTAACCATACTTATGCCGCACCCTGTAGTAAAAACGCGCATTCATAACTGGACAACCCAATATTTCTTTAAAGGAATACTTTTTAATTTTTATTTTGACAAGTTGACGATCTTCCCTAGTTAGGTAGGAGGTAACTGCTGCAAGCTTAACCTCTAAAGTATCTTTCTCGCAAGTAACTCGTTTTCTTAAATGCACCTATTTGAGAAAACTACTGTAGTACCAGTTTACATCAACCCAATCAACCCAATTTTAGTATCATTCGATGAGGAATCACAAGGCTCAGTCAATAATATAAAAATTTGGCTAATCTGATGAAAACTAACAGTTTAACTACAGTTTTTTCTAAAATAGATGCATTTTAGAAAACATGCTAATTGAGAGGACTCTATTGAGTGGTTATGTTACTCAATTGCCGTGATATTATGAAAAAAAACCCCCCAAAAGTTCACTCACCTTCACAAATGGTGGCAATTTCTGAATCGAACGATTTCTCGTCACCGCATCTTTTGTGGAATGCAAAATGAATGATGGCCCATTTGTGCTCGAAATGAGAATCGCCGATTGCTCTTTGAAAGCACAAATCCCCAAAGCGATTTGATCGTAGCCAATCTATAATTGAAAAGAATCTTTGATGTAATTTTAAGCAGAAATGACTAATTGAATTACAATCCAAGCTAATTGAAAGACTCAATAAAATGAATAGCGCCAATCGATTCGCCGACCCCGAAAACCCCTGGGTACAAATTTAGAGCTGAATATCTTTTTGTGCCATCTACAAAAAGATAAATTTATGTAAATGAATGGGGAAATGTTCTTTGTGTGGTTGCATAATCGCTCGCTTTCTGGCGGACCGCTTGGGTATATAAGGCAGCGCAACTGAAATCCGTAAAGGGGAAAGAGCGGTGAGCGATTGAGTCAAAAACCAAAGCCAAGTAGCCAATAATAGCCAAGTAAAAACTATAATTTAATCGAATATCGATTTAAAACCGGGTGGAAAATTGTTTTTGAAAAGACGAAAAGTAAAATATGATAGTTAGGAAAATCAAAAAACTCTAATTGATATATTCTTGTATTTAGAAATTCATCGAGTAAAATAAAGTAATTTGACAATAAATCCACACAACTAAAACCGCCAAGATAACAAAAAATAACCAGATTTTGAATTTTCGTTGAAAAAAAATAGAAAAAAAACCCAATCTTTTACACTAATCGAGAGCTCGCTTTTGACGTTTAACTTTTAGATTTGTTAGATCTTCTATAACTTTTAGATTTGCTTTGAAGGTTTTAAATGCTTTAAATTTCAGTTTTCAAATAGCTTTTACTAACTTTCAAAATTTGTGGCGTTGAGTTGAAAGTAAGTGAAGTGCTTGGCTGAAGTGATTCACCCCAAGATAGGACCTGAAAAATGAAAAAAAAATAGTTTAAAGTTTAAAACAGTAAAACAATAAGTAAACCCAGTAAAGAGTAATTTTAAAGCTAATGTTTCAATTAAAGTAGAGAAATGATTTTGAAACTAGATCTAGCTCATTCGATCAAAACTCGAATGGAGATTCTGAAGTTGTAATCAAAATCTGCGGAATAGCTCGTAAAGATTTTGGCCTGAAAGTTTTTGCTTTGTTTAGCTGTGAAAGTTTTTTTCTATATGATGTAGCCACTCGTGATTTTCAGCCGCTAGTGATCACCAACGGCTAGCCACTAGTGATTCAATCGCTAGTGATCACCAACGGCTAGCCACTAGTGATTGAATCATCGACGGCTAGCCGCCAGTGATTCAATCATCAACCGCTAGTCGATGGTGATTGAAAGTTTTTTAATGAAACATTTGACCGATGGTGATTGAATCACTAACCGTTGGTGATCACTAGCGATTCAATCACTAGCGTCTGAAAATCACTAGCGGCTGCGATATATACACTCTTGGGTCGAGTTTATGCCCGATCTTTTGACAGCAGTTGTGGTCTAGTGGATAGTGTGATGGTGTGATGGTCTACAGAACTAATCGAGTTCTTTTCTGGTGAGTTCGAATCCCCCCTTGCTAAACGCTTTTTGTTTTTTATTTTTCACAATGATATCACAAATTCTTATAAGATTTTGCTTGTTTGCTACATTCTTGAACAAAATAGAATGCCAGCAAGAAAATAGAATGCCGGCACTATTTTCTTTTCACTATTTTTTATAAAAGAAGTTTTTTAAATAAAAAAAATAATAATCTAAGAGTGTATAGCAAAACTTTGAAGCCAAAAATTTTACATTTGCGAGCTATTCATTTTCTCAGCCGTTTCTTGGTCAATTGTTCTGAAATTTTACTTGCAAATAGAAATTGATATTCTCTGTTTGTAGACAAAATTTCAGAGCAATTGGCCAAGAGACGGCTGAGAAAATGAAGGTGGAATTAGGTTAGAATTTTTCCATGTCTTGTACCATTGCTAAACTACGCTTTCCAGATTTCATTCATTAATTTTTGAAAACATTTACAAACAAAGAAACCTCTCCATTCGCCGTCAATGCCATTGAGAATTGCTCTCCACAAGCGATCTCCACGACATGATATTCGGTCAGTGTTGAGATCGGAAAGGGTTCTTTTCTGGAAGTATTTGGCTAAGTAGTTGGCGGGAAAGTTCCTTCCGTTTTTTGACGCTAGATCTAACTAGATCGTTAGATCGCTAGATCTAACGCATCAAAAACGCCAAATAAAAAAACAGAACTTATCTACTCAAAATATTCACCGTCAACATCAATAACATCCAGCCACTTATCCGGCAACAAATACAGTACTGGACAATGAAATATCATACTTGAAAAACGATCGTCACTTTCGCGCGTCTGTAACTCCCTTGTCTTTGAGTTTAAACTATTAGTGTTATACATTTTTTTGAAAGCTCTTTTCAAGGGATACACAATGGTAATATTAATATTTAGAAATACGGTAAAGACAAGGGAGTTACAGACGCGCGAAAGTGACGATCTTTTTTCAAATATCATATTTCATTGTCCAGTAGTGTAGATTCCGCGGCGATAAAACTCACGTGGCTTCGAATCGAAAAACTGAGTGAGTGACAAGCGCACCATCGGACTATCATCTGTTCAGGTATTTTGTCCAGAATCCGATTATTCTTTTTTCAGGTCTCTGAAGCATCATTTGCGTGGAAAGATCTTTCAAAGCGTCGAGGAAATGCGCTTGTCACTCACTCAGTCACTCACTCACTCACTCACTTCGAAGCCACGTGAGTTTTACCGCCGCGGAATCTATTTGTTGCCGGATAAGTGGCAGGATGTTATTGATGTTGACGGTGAATATTTCGAGTAGATAAATTCTGTTTTTTTTATTTGGCGTTTTTGATGCGTAAAATAAAAAGTTAGATCTAGCGTCAAAAAACGGAAAGAACTTTTCCGTCAACCTAATAGATTTTGAAACAGATTTTTGTCCAGAGTTATTTTCTTTATACTCAATTTTCCCAAACCGACATTTCCCCAAATTATCTTTATTCTGAATTTTCCCGAACCTATTCACCGAATCCCCATGCCCAAGCTGTCCAGCCGAATTGTCTCCCCAACTCCAAACTTCCACAAAATCATCGGGAACTTCGAAAATTTGCTTTTTCTAAAATCAATAAAAACAGAATACCCTTTCTTTTCAAAATAAACGTTTCAAATTTGAAATTCAAACAATTCAAACGTTTGAAACTCACTTTTCGAAGCGTTGGATGTGCGCTAGAAGTGGGAGAATCTGAAAGAAATCGGTTTTCAAGAGTCTAAAAGTTTTAAATTAAGTTTAAAACAATTTGGTAGAAATTATTCTGAAATTGTTTAGATGTAGATCTTTAAATAAATAATTTAAAAGCTTTTCTTTAAGATAAACTAATAAGTTTTTCGAGTTTCTCGAAAATTTTCAGCCAATTTTCAGCCAATCCAGGTTCCACTTCGTAGACTCAATAAAAATTTCTTTGAAAGCTTCGAATCTCCTCTGTAAGATAGGCTAATAAGTTTCCTTTCGATTTCGATTTAGACTGAATAAAATGAATAGCGCTAATCGATTCGCCGACCCTGAAAACCCCCAGGTACAAATTTAGAGCTGAATTCTTTTTGTATCAAGAAAATGAGTAAGCTGAAGATTAACTAAATAATCCAATCTATCCATTGATTCTCTGAGGGTTCACAAAGGATATTGAAAGATACAAAAAGCAGATAGATTGGATAAAAATAGAGACAGGATCACGGTAGAAAAATATCTTTTAATGGGTTTTGATAGCTTTGAAACCCCATAACTTTGTTTCTAAAAGTTTAGACCAATTAAACCGGGTTCTAATTGAAAGGCTCAATAAAATGAATAGCGCCAATCGATTCGCCGACCCTGAAAACCCCTGGGTACAAATTTACAGTTAAATATCTTTTTTTGGGCCATCTACAATGCAAAAGAGAAATTTATGTAAATGACTGGCGAAATGTTCTTTGTGCGGCCGTTTAACCGCTCGCTTTTTGGCAAACCGCTTGGGTATATAAGGTTTCACTTTTGAAAATCGTAAAGGGGAAGAAGCGGTGAGCGATTGAGCCGTTTTCACCGTTTCTTGAACGTCGCTATGCCCAAATTTGGTTGTGTTCTTGCTACAAATCCCCCTCCTCCAATACAAATTTTGCTTTGAACTCAAAACAAAAGATTTTCTTGAGTGAAGAATTCAAATCCAACACAACACTTTTTCTGAAAATCCCATTTCTCCAAAAGCAAACCATTATCCTGTCTCATTTGCAGCGACAATCGATCAATCGACAAAAAGCTCATCACACTCGATTTCTCTTTGTTTTCTTCGTTTGACGAGCAGCTTCGTTGCCGATTTTCCATTTTCCCAGCGTGCAATTTTTTCAGTTGATTCGGTTTCAAATTCGTTCTGAAAATCTCTGTTTTCAATTCTTTTTTAAAGCCAACTTTTTCAATGATCTTTCCCCATTCTTTCGCTGAATCGAGCTCTCTGGATTTAGCCTCAAATTTTTGAATTCCTCATCCGCTTCCAAAAAACGCAGCACATCGTCGTGTTCCTGAACTTGTTTGGATAAAAGTTTTGTTAGTTTTTGTCAATTTTGAATCAGTCTTGAAAATAGATCAAGACTGATTAACTATAAAGAATCTTGCAATTATCTGCTTTAGATTGAAACTCAACAATTCAATTCAAATAAATTCAAATCAATTCAACTCAACTAAACTAAACTATACCCGGTTAAAACAAAGGTGTTACTTTAAAAATGCAAATTGTTACTGTACTCAGAAGCTAAGGTTAGCCTAGTAAAACCAGGAAAAACCAGAAGTTAAGCTAAAGCCAACCTGAGAAGCTTATCAAAAAATACCTATTAACGTAAAGATGGCGTTTTAATTTTAAACTAGAATTTTTTTCTAGGTTTGTATATTGGTTTGTATTCAATATGGTTCCAATATGGTTCCAATATACAAACCTGATGTATACAAATACAAACCTGATCAGCCAATTTCATCGTCGCTGAGAGTCTCATCTTTCCGTCCTCCTGGCATTTGTCACAGTTTTGAAAGTTCACCTCATTCATCTAAAATAGTCTCTTCTTTCTACTTTTATGACATTTACAAGTTTCAAAATTCACGTCTAATGACCTAGCATAAGAATTTTAAACTAATTCATAGGTGCCTCTCTATTTTTCTTTATCATTTTAGTTCTTTTTAAGTCTAAAATAACTTGCTTAGTTTAAAAGTTTAAAATTCAAAAGCAAAACCCAATCAAAAGTCACCTGAATTTTCCTTGAAATATTATCCTCGATGTCATCACAGTCAAAGCCTTTTTGTTCAGCAACCGAACGAACCACCAACGCCAGAAAGTGCTTTCTGAAAGAAAAAAAAATGGTGATTTATAAGTACAAATCCAATCGATTGATCGAAAAGATCGACTCTCTAAATGCAAGTTTTAAAAATGGGGCCTATATGGGCAGGTAAGCGCAGCTAATGCACAAAAAAACGGCTCCAACTGGCTAGTCTATTAAGCTTTCCAGTAAATCTTCTCATTCCTTTTCATACTTTCGTTTAAAATCAACAAATACACTAATTGAACAACTGTTTGTTTCATTAGAAAGCCACCTTTCTGAAAAGCCTAATCTAAATCCTTTTCTGCGCAGCTTAAACTTCAACGTATGAAATTCGATTTAGTGTCTAATTGAAAAACAAGAATCGCCTAATGATTTGCCTAAAAACACGAATCTATTCGCACTTTCCGAGCACAAACCTTCCCCCAACGATCCTCGTGCATTTTCTCATTCCGCCCATAAACGGTAGCCTTCTTGGTGTTATTGAAGTATTTCCATTGTCGAGCAACGAATTCCTCTCAAATGTCCACAATTGTCCATTCTCATCCACAATCACAAACGTCGAGAAGCCGAGCACCAATGATTTGATCGAGATTTTGCTAAAACGACAATACAAGAGAGCTCGGCGATGACTTTTTTTGTGCTTAGGTCATTTTGTGCCTCTTCAAATCATTCAAATCATTCAAATCATTCAAATTGAATCAAATCATTCAAATCATTTAAATCATTCAAATCATTCAAATCATTTAAATCATTCAAATCATTCAAATCATTCAAATCAAATCAAATCAAATCAAAGTCATTTAAAAATCATTGGCTTACCCTTAGGCTAAAACTAGTTTTGTTCAAAAATAGAAACAACTAAATAGAAAATATGAAACAAATTTTATCTACTGGAATCTGCGATTCTACGATTCTACGATTCTACAATTCTACAATTCTACGATTCTACGATTTTATCTACTGGAATCTGGAATACTGAAATTTTATCTACGTTTAAGGTGCCAACAATTTCCTCAAAAAAATTTGAAACTTGAAAACCCAAACTCACTCGTTCGACGTCGACGCCACACCATGCGGGCAATATTTTGGCGGTTTTCGTAGTTTAACCCTTCTCCATTCTAAACAATGAATTTTTTTGATTCAATTACCCAATTTCTTATTGAATTGCAAATGCAAATGACCAACCTCTTTTCTCATTGCGTACGTTCAACTCGCCATTCACTGCCAGCAATGAGTCGTCTAAAAAGCGAGCAAAAAAAGTCCCCTTTGGAAGCGATGCGAGCTGGGTGAATGAACCGGTCTCCGGGATGAATTTGAACTAAAATTTGTTTATGAAATAATAATAAATTAATAAATAACCATTTTCCTTTATAATAAATAACCTTTTGCTCAATTTTCTGCTACAGAATAATGAAAATGAACTTTTACATGTGTTGGCCCTTCAAATCATTCAAATATAAAGGCAAATTACGTCAAAAATGTGTCAGATTACTTAAATTTTGTTATAATTTCATTATTATAACATTTTTTACACTAGATATTTCAAAATTTTAACTTGATTGGTCGTCTATAAGAAAAATTAAGGCCATTGATCCGGCTCCGGAAGTGAAAGATGCTTTTTTTTCATAAAGACTGGTGATTAAAATGAAGACACTAAACTTTTCAGTGATTTTAATTCATTATTCGGATTTTAAAAAGGTTAATAACATTGAAATTATTAGTTTTTGGCCTAAATCGCCAGTCTTTATGAATAAAATAAGCTTATTTCATCTTGTTTTCAATATGGTGACAATTAAAGCAATTCAAATTTGTTTCTATGATAGTTTAAAGAAAACATAGAAACATATTTGACCTTAACATAGAAAAAGCAACAAGAAAGAACATTATTTGAGGAAGAGTGAAGCATTTTAAGCACGAGTTCATAAGAAAATATACATCGTGCCAGACGCTTTTATTTACGAAGCTTCTAATGGCCCTAATTTTTCTTATAGCCAACCGATCAGGCTAAAAATTGAAATATATAATGTAAAAATGTTATAATAACGAAATTATAATAAACTTTAAGTAATTTGGCACACTTTCGACTTAATTTGCCTTCACATATTATGAGCCACTCTGTAATGATTTAGTTTCAATTTTAGCGACTTTTGAAAAAATGCTTTAGCATTAAATGCATTAAATATCTCATTAAATGCATTAAATATCAAATGTTTCTATGGGTAATTTTACAAGTTCTTTCCAAAAAACACAATTTCAAGATGATTAGAGCATGGTATCAACAAGAAAAACAGCGCTGAAACTATTGTTTTTTCAAACCATATTTTGCGCACCGCGAAATGTGGCAAAAATTAAATCATTTTAAAAAGCGAATCCATCTTCTTATAGAGCTCGTTTTAAGCTTTCAGCATCACTATAACACTTCTAGTCTATGGAAAGGAAAGGTGTGATGGAAAGGCTGGGGATTATAGCTCTTCAAAGATCGAGAAAAATTCCCCAGGTGATCTTTTGTCCAGTACTGCATTTTATTGCAGAAAAACTATCAGAAAATAACATTTGTACATCAAAACTAGCATGGCTTTAGGAGAAATGGTTTAAAATTAATCGAGAACAACGAGAGAAGCTCTAAACTCATGCTAATTCATAATTTTCAAAAAAAAAAACATTTTAACTCACCAAAGTATTGTTTTTGAGACAAAATTGATGTTTCGCGTCCTCAGAGTCGAAAAAATCCGATGACGAGCCGAGGGAAAAGTCCGAAAGCTCGTGCAATTTCTGGTCGCTCGGCGAATAGAAACCCGCGATTTTCGTCGGCTTCATCACTTTCAATTCATTGTGTTTCGGCTGAAAAATTCGAGTTTTAAACAAAAGCCAAAAGGTGAAGGCATTGAGAATTATTTTCCTGCTTGAACTAGCTGAATTTTGAAACGCTACTTTTTTAGATAATATGGGAAGTTCCGCAGAAATAGAAATTTATCCCCGCAAATGCATCAATAGGATTATAAACCCCAAAATTTGCATCAAAATTCTATAAATCACATACAATACACAAAAAAAAAGATTAAAGAGCAATTTCTAGAGGCCTTGTGGAAGCAATTCTGTCAAAGATCCATGCGTCGATCTTTTTTTTCCTTCAGTCCAACGCGCAACATACGGCGACTTCTTTTTGGTAGATTAGCTCCCAAGCGCCAAGTTCAACCCTAATGTGTTAAATGTTATATAAAATGTTAAAGCGCTTTATCTCTTAAAAGTTTTCCGATTGGAGATATAAAACTCATTTTACAAGCTTTTGAATGAGCACTCTAGCTCTAGTCGCCCTAGTCAAGCTCTAGTTGCCCTAGTCAAGCCCTAGTTGCCCTAGTCAAGCCCTAGTTGCCCTAGTCAAGCCCTAGTTGCCCTAGTCAAGCCCTAGTTGCCCTAGTCAAGCTTTAGTTGCCCTAGTCAAGCTTTAGTTGATCCCTCTCGTTGTCATTTTTGGCGATTTTGGTTATAACAAATTGTCAAAAAAGGTTTTCGATATCTATTTTATGTTATATTATTTAACACCACTTAATAAAATTAAGTGGCTGCTTTTGAGCGAATCGTCTTGCTCAAGTTTAAGTTGAAGGAGTATTGAGTATTTTTCGATGCTCAGTTCGTATGTGCTCCTTGCTATATTAACTGATCTGGTGCTATATATTTGTTGGAAATAATGTTTATACAAAGCGCCACAAATTTGGCCAAAAGAAACTCTTTCTGATTGAAGAACTTCTGAAGAAAATCGCCAAAAAAGGCAGCGTGCCAGAGAGAGATCAACTAGTACTCATTGAAGAGCTGGTAAAATGAGTTGCACAGCTCCAATCGGGAAACTTAATAGATACCGTATTTACTCTATTAGTGGGGTCCCCCACTATTTTTTCAATCCCCTTCCAGACGACCCCACTATTAGAGAGGACCCCACTATTAGAGAAATTTAAAAGAACATAAAACCAAAGTTTTAAATTGAAAAGATATCAATTTTTCTCCGAAATTCTTGACAAAACAAGTTTGGCTTCATATTTTATTTAGCTTTAACCGTAACAAAACATTAACAAACAGTAAAAGAACTAATCCAAGAGATCAACAATTGATGTATCACTTTCGTTACCAATATTAGAGAGGACCCCACTATTTTTTCAACCCCCCTCCAGACGACCCCACTATTAGAGAGGACCCCACTAATAGAGTAAATACGGTAAATGTAGCGAAGACTAAGGGCTTCAACATTTTATATAACACTTAACACATTAGAGTTGAACTTGAGAGTAAATCTGCCAAAAAGAAGTCGCCATAAATACTGAACAGCTGTAAAATAGCTGGAAAGGTGAGCGGTACACCTTGTAAAATAGCGTAAAGGTAGAGGGTGTGCTTCTTATTTCTAGTCCCATAGCGCCTAACAGTATCAACGATGTTAAATATTGCGATAAAAGGGCTTAAAAGTCAAAAAAGGAAAAGGATGCAAAGGCAGATTTTTTAAAGTAAGAATTCAAGTAATTTAAGTAATCATTCAAATGCTAAAATTCTCTATCAAGTTCTTTCGAAATAGATGTTTCAAGGGTTTAAAGGGTGATAGAAATGAAATTGAAAGGATAAGAAAAGAAAGGAAAAGAAAAAAGATAAAGATATCCTTACGCAAGGGTAAACAAGAGTTTACCCTTGCTCAAAAGCTTAGTGACTCAATTGAGTCCAGCTTGGCATTTAATTGCGTCTTTTTTTGGTATTATACTACGAATATTTTGAAACATAAAAAAAACTGATCAGACACTCATTGCCACTGATCAGACAAGCGTTTTGAAACAAAATTTTTGACTTTGGATGAGCCAAATGAAACAAGCCAAATCAAAGTTAAAAGTAAAACACTCATTGGAAAAAAGTGGTGTTTCAAATGCAATAAGTTCATTGAAAAATAGCTCAGGAAAGATTTTAGATTGTTTTTTAGGAAAGCGAGGTAACAAAATATGAAAAATTTTGCTAATCCAATATTTCTTTTGATACGAAATTTCAAAACTAAACAGAAAAAAAGCCGAATTAGCTTACCAAATGGAAAGAATGTTTTTCAGTGCAAAAAAGGCGTCATTTATCTTCATTTTATGACTCATTCAAGTGACCGATCAGTCGAAAAAAAAAAAAAAAAAGGGAAAAGAGCGCTGATCATTCTTGGAAAAATAAATAAAAACGTCGTTTTTTTTTCCAGTGGTGTTTGCAAACACGAAATATATCTCCACGCCGGTATATCTCCCAGCGGGCCCGGGGCATTTGGTGGTGAAGGGAAGGCGGGGTGGCTTCTTTAAGTGGGGCCGGGGAAGGAACGGGGGGGCGTCGCATGTGGGGTTGGCCCTCGCCTCCGTTAAATAAAAGGCGTTTATTGAAGAAATTTGTACAAGAATCAAAAAGATCAATAATTACATTTAAAAATCAAAAACCCAGTTGAAAAATTTGAAATGATCAAAGCTTGTAAAGTATTTTCAATTTTACACAGCTTCAAAAGGATTTTGGATCAAAGGAAAGGACCTAACTTTCACGCAATGTAATAGAAATTCGAAATCCTGCTTTTATGAACTTTTAGAAACTCTTTTCATAAGGATTTTTTCCAAATCAATACTCAAAAATGGATGATGGTGATTAAGCGCTCGCGGAAAGCAAAACATGCCTGGGGAATTTCGGAAGATTTGTCGATAAATGATTTGGAAAAATCGGATTTCACAAAACGGCACTATTCATGGGAAAAAAACACGATAAAGCAGAGTTTTAGCAATTGTTAACATTAAAAGACCAAAAAAAGCTTGTACCAACCTAAACAGGGTCAAATTTGTTGATTTTAGTTTTTTTGAGCTGGGCCTGAATATCACTTTTCAAATAAACTGCATTCAAATGTAAATACAAATCTCAATTAATCAAGCTTAGCATGAAATCATGTAGCTAAATTGAAGACTGAACTGTGTAAAACTAGTAGAAAGGTATCGGATAGGTAGATGAGTTGCTTTAGAATATATGTTACATCCGTTATTGATTTTCGTCTTTTTAAAAATCTATTAGTTTAGTTAGTAACCAACTCGGTATATTGGTGGTTTGGAGAGCCACCTATATTTTTACCTTCTTCAATTTTTCTTGGGTAATCGATAGCGCTAATCACGATAAGTGTTTTTAAGGTAGGTTGCCCATAGTTTTTTGAGTTTTTATCCTGAACTAGTGTATCTTTAGTGTACTTCACTATGATGTCAACACAGGAAGAGGAACTCAAAATGAGACCGTGAAGGAGTTAACCTCTTAACCAAAACTATTCCTCAAAACTTTTACGAGAACCACTGAACTTGAATCAACAAGATACAACTAAAAAGGTTGAATTTAAAATTTGGGCTTCTATGGCGTAATTTTGGGTCTCCTTAACAAGTTAATCCCCCAAGTAAAGACGCGTTACTTTAGAACTTCAAAACACTTGGAACAAAAGAAAATTCATACAAAGCCTTTACATAAAAAATATTTCTGATCGCTATCAATTACCCCTGAAGAATTGAAAAGGCCAAAAATATAGGTGGCTCCCCCCGACCACCAATGTACCACTAACTCCCTTACCTAACACCTTTAGACTTACCAACCCTTTTCCAAAATGATTTGACACAAAACCCAAGAAGAAGTAAAAAGAAAATCGCGCCGTGATTGCAGATAATTTAAATTTGCGTTTTAGTTAAAAGGAATTGGTTAAGTTGAGTTTATACAGTATGTGTCAACGGATTCAAAACAATAGAGTGAAAGAAGCTAAAAAGAAAACGAAATAAAGCCGTAGAATTTTAAGCAAAAAATATGGGTAAACAATATAAAAAGAAGGGAACAAACGAGGGGAAAGAGTACTTTAAAAACGCGCTACAAAAACATAGATTTTACGGGGTGGGACAAATGCGACCTTTTTTTTGCGCACCTGGACATTTGCGCACCTTTTTTTTGCTGGAAAAGGCCTTAGGAAAGGTCGTAGAGCTTCAAAAATGTTTTCATAGCAGGGAATCGTATGCGTAGATTCCGAATTTCGACAAATCAGACCTCGCTGACACGTCAAATTTGGGCTAAAAGGCAAAAACTACACAACTTAACGCTTTTCCGCAGTTTTTGCCTTTTAGCCCAAATTTGACTTGTCAGCGAGGTCTGATTTGTCGAAATTCGGAATCCACGCATACGATTCCATTCTATGAAAACATTTTTGAAGCTCTACGACCTTTCCTAAGGCCTTTTCCAGCAAAAAAAGGTGCGCAAATGTCCAGGTGCGCAAAAAAAGTCGCATTTGTCCCACTCCCGATTTTACGATTTTATTTTAGATTTTACGAAGGGGAAGAAAACTTAACGCGACTTGGCATAAAAGCCTTTTATGGCATAAAACCCATAAAAGTTTCCAATTCCGTCAAAGCGAACGAAAAAATGAAGGAAAATTAAGAAAAATGAAAAGAATGGCAAAAGGGGATTTTTGTGCGGGGTACGGTATCCCATCCACGCTTTAGAAAGCGCGTCGCGTCGCTTTCGTCTCTTAAAACCGCACAGCAAAAGAAATTTAACTTATTCAATATGGAACGTCCGTTTTTGAATCCTAGTATAATTATATTATTACCGTATCTACTCGAATAGAAGACCGGCCTCGATTATAAGACCGGCCTCGAATAGAAGACAGGGTCTAGGTGGTGATTGAAAAAATAGAAGACCGGTCTTCTATTCGAGTAAATACGGTAATTTTTAGTTCTATTACTATATTTTTTTTCCTAGTATTAGTGCTGTTTTTGAAGAAGAGATAAAAAGGTTATAGCTTTAAGAACTTTATC